CCAAACTTATGCCACTCTCAGCCCACATTTCCGATTCTGTAAAAATGAAGCATCAATTCAAAATGAGCTTCTCGGCCTTTTGGCTAAGATCAAGTCTAAATTCAAAATGAATTCTGATTTTTTGTCTTCAGGAAATCAGCAACAATTTTACTCAACGGGTTTTGCATCAAATATCAGGTTATGTGTTTTTTCATGCAGTACTGCTAATCCTTACAAGAACCTCAAAAGGTAAATGGCATTATGCAGATTTTACAGAGAAGGAAACTGTAACATAACGCAGTTAGTTTCTTGCCCAACATCAGGACATTAACAGGTTGTGTGGAGGCAGACTAATCCAGGGCTGCTTGTTCTGAAGCCGGGGCTCTAACACATCACGAAGATTGTATGTGTTGTTTATTAACAATACTACTATATATGCATATGGAAATTTACTTATAATTATTTTAAAAAAATAACCATTGTTCTTAGACTTTACACCTTCTGTGATTCATCTCTAAGGTTGTTTTCATGCACTCAAGGTTTTCAACCAGCAGGATTGATTATCAACACTTTCATGCTCGTAGATTGGCTCTATTTATGACTCTGCCATACACTGTCCCTTATTCCCTTCTCTCTATATACACACACGCAACCCACGATCTCTTACACACACACACACACACCACACACACCTTCAATCTATAGAGAGGGAAACAACACATGTATAACGTGTGCTTGGGTCTGAGACATATCTAGTGTGGGTCGAACTCTGGAGAATACTTTAACTCAGGAAACAGTGAAAGATCAGACTGTCATCACACTAATTAAGTGCTAACCGCTGGGTCACTAATGGTGGACAAATAGAGAATGGTGTGTCTCATGATGTGATACAATACATGATATATACCACTCAGGAAGAATTCTAGTCAAAAGTATTTTAACCTGAACCCATTAAGCTCAAATTTTCAGAACCAATTTCTAGTTCCAGGAAACCGGTAATTCCTAATGCAGTAATAAGAACACAACCACATTAATTCAGAGGGTGGACCGTTCTTCTTGACAACCTGTCTACCAACAAGTCAGAACCAGGAAAAAGAAATGGTATGAGAATAAAAGTGAAAAAGAAAATAACCAGATGCAGAGGGTGGTCTTGGATTGGATCTGTGTTCACTTAAACAGCTTGGCGAAGATAGGGAAAACGTGAATACAGGTGGGATATTAACTAATATTAAAGAATTATGACTCACTGACTTTCAGTGTGACGAAGCTACTTTAAAGATACATGTGCATGTTAAAATACATATATATACACATTTAAAAAATAGTGGCTTGAAGGGAATTAAAGAAGAACTCTTTGAACTGGAGAAACACACTTGACAATAGTCAGTAGCACACACGGGAATTAAAACCATGAGAACAGATGATGATCTGAGACATTTTATAAAACCAAGATAAGAACCACAGAGATCATCAATATTTCAAAGACTGGACACAAGAGGAAGGACCGTCCATTGAAAAGCAGCAGCTGGGGAGGAGGGACAGGACCGTCAGGAGCACGGTCCTGCAGAAGGCAGTGGGGAGCAGTCTCAAGAGGGATAGAGCAAATCCTAACCGCCCCAAGGAGATCCAGCCGGAAAAAGACAGAAGAGAGGCTCCGAGGGACAAACAGGAGGTCAGTGATGGCCGGATGGAGAGTAGTTTCAGTAGAGTGACTGGAGCAGAAGTCACAGGAGTGACCTGCACTTGAAGAAGTGGAGACATCACTCCTCTTTCAAAGAAGCTTGCAATTGCTCAGACAGATGAGAACCTGCACCATCAACACATAGTGTTCAGACAAAGAAATCCCTAGTGGTCCATGCTGACATGTGATAACACGTCAAATTCCTAGAGGTCCATGCTAACACGTGATAACAAGTCAAATTCTTAGTCGTCCATGCTAACACGTGATAACAGGTCAAATTCCTAGTGGTCCATGCTAACACGTGATAACAGGTCAAATTCCTAGTGGTCCATGCTAACACGTGATAACAGGTCAAATTCCTAGTGGTCCATGCTAACACGTAATAACAGGTCAGCAAGAACACATGCACAGGACAGAAAGTCGTGGCAGAGCTGCACCATCCAGGACTGCTCTGAACACTTTTTGGGGAATGCCTACATTAAAAAAAAAAAAATCTGCCATTCTATTTTTTAATAACCAGCAACCTCAATTTCAGTATTGTTTGGTTTTTCTTCCTACTTGGTGCTAAAGCAGCGGCTCTCAACCTGTGGGTCACGACCCATTTGGCGGTCGAATGACCCTTTCACAGGGGTCTCCGGATTCTTAACAGTAGCAAAACGAAAGTGATGAAGTAGCAATGCAAATAATGTTATGGTTGGGGGTCACCACCACATGAGGAACTGTGTGAGAGGGTCGCGGCAGGAGGGACATTGAGAAGCGCTGTGCTGGAGAGAAGCGAAGCTGCCATCTGATGTACATCTGATGTGCCCCGTTGTAGGAAGCAGGCTTGCTCTCTTAAAGATGGAGTGTAAACCAGACTTTTATCAATCAAATCAATAATTGAATCAGGAAATTTATTTCGTTAAAGGAGTGACAAGGGACTCTTGACTGCAGTCTGATTTCATGGACACATTTTCATTAAAAATCAAAGAACCAAAAATAAATCACATGCCTGGATTTGACAACATGCATCGCTTGACCCCTAATCTAATCCTAGGAGATTAAAGAGAGGTATTACTAGTTCCATTTGACCCTGGACTGTTTTTTGCTTTAAGGGGGCTCTGTTTGGAAGCATGAACGGCTTTTTGTGTTTTTTTCTTTTCTTTTCATTCTTGGAGGGGAAAAACGTTTTGAAAGAGCGAATAATCACACAGTCCAAAAGCAGTTCAAGTTTCTTAACGAACACTCAAGGAGCCTGGTGACACAGCAGGTTAAGCATTGGGCTGCAAATTGCAGGGTTCAAACCCACTAAGAGGGAAAGAGGAGTATCCATTCCTGAGGCGATCACGGAGCAGTTTACTCTGTCCCACACGGTCCCAGGAACCAGAGCTGACTACATGGCAGTGGGGTTCTGTTTTGTTGTAGATCACACACTCAGAAACCTCACCTCTCACATTCTCATGCTCAGCCCAAATACCCTCAGAGCTAATTAAAAATTAGACGTTTTAATAGATCATCAGTATATTTATAGAATAAAATGGTCTGTTTGCGGTTCTTGGTTAACAGAGTAAAAAAACCATGAGGGGCCTTGTACCCCGCCCCCACTCTCTTCCCACCGAGAAATAAAGTTCTCTTTCTGTTAAACAAAACAAAAGAACAACAACAAAAGCCATGGTTGCTGAGTGGTTTCCAGTTCATGAAGACCCTCCGGAGGGTCAGAGAACTGCCCTATAGTATTTCCACAGCTGTCTATCTTTCTATTTTTATTATAAAACAATTACTCTTAACTAAGGCAGCTGGTCTTGGGGGAAAAATGGCTCCATCCTTAATATAAAAGATCACATCAATTTTATAATCCTAGATACCCAATAAGATGCCTAACTTATAAGAGGTTCAGAGTGTCAGTTACTGGGAGTTTTCTTAGAACAATCTGGTCGACAATGCACTGTATAAATAACAACAACAAAACCACTGCCACGCAGTCGATTCTGACTCATAGCAGCTGTATACAGGCTTTCCCGAGACTGCAAGTAAATCCCTATGGGGGCAGATAGCGCCAACCTTCTCCCTTAGTGACTGGTATGATTAACAGCCCAATGCTTAGCGTTCTTTATATCAAGAGTAATGTCAAAACCCAAAACCAAACTCACTGACATCAAGTCCAGCTCGCAGTGACCCTACAGGACAGGGCAGAACTGCCCTTGTGGGTTTCTGACACTGTGACTCTTCATGGGAGTGGAAAGCCTCCTCTTTCTTCCGAGGAGCGGCTGGTGATTTTGAACTACTGGCCTTGTGGTTAACAGCCCGTCAAGTGACCACTACACCACTAGGGCTCCCATAAATAGTAATTGCTAACGATTACTGAGTACTTTCTATGTGCCATGCATTATGCTGACTCTGTAGAGGTTCTTGATTGTATTTAATAATCTCCAAGGCAAATCTGTGAAGTGGGTACTATTTCCACTTCACATAATAGTACTATACTATTTATAACCATTCTCATTTAACATGTGGAGACCAATGAAATCTTGTTACAGCCAAACTAATGTACTTCTAAAAGCCCTCCCACAGTAGACAGAATTTTAATCACATTGTATTCCCCCAATAGCCATTTCTTATTTACATTAACATTTTTTCCTTCCATTATTAGTATATGGAGATTATTTTAGTTAAAATCTATAGATGTCTCATGAAGAAATCCACTGTAAAAGGTATCAAGTGCAGCACATTTACTGTAATTGAGTTCCTACCCCTAAACATAAACCTTCTACATTCCTATGATATTGTAATTGTTATAAATGGAATGAAAGACTTAAAAATTGAGATGGACATAACAGTTAACTATGGCAATTGAAAAAAGATTGGAGGCCTGAGTTTTACACCTGGGAATTAACTGAATCAGCAATAATTCATTTGCTTCCCCTTTGTATTTCGTTCGCTGCTTTAGAGAAGGTGCTCAACTGCGGATGCAGCACAAGGAGGCCCACCAGAGTCTGTAAGCACACACTATGTCCAGAAGACCCTGTGGACAGAAAAGCTGACCATTCCACGACTCTAAAAGGGAGTAAGAATAGCGAGTAGAAGCATCTTGAGACACCCATCGTTGTTGCAACTCTTTGCAAACCCCTCTGAGAGTTCAGAACAGTAACAAAAGTTGCTAATGTGGAATGAATCTAGTGTTCACTGAGAGAGGTCCAATGACTTACACTATCCCAAACAGTTCTTCAGTTCTAGAAAGCCTCATGTAGGCTACATGAGTAAATGACTATATTTAGTTTACGCTCAAGAGGTTCAAAAATATTACAACAAAGAATGAATGATGCCACTAAATTGCGGCGAATTAGTTAAGTAGTCTCCTCACCTGCGTGGCCTAGTCCTTGGGGACATCATTTCATTCCCGAGAATGTGATACCGTCTTGCTTCATGTAACAACTGGTAACAATCAGGTGAATTCTGGATCAACTGGTCCACCTCAACTGTTTGAACAAAGTAGTTGGGATGCAACAGAGGGAGTCTCACATGTGTCAGGAGTTCCTGCAACAGGGGTCTTCTCAGATCAACAGCGCGGTACACCCAACGCATGACAGCCTCAAAAACCATCTCTTCTTTACCAATCACAAGTTCATCGCTGCAGATGTAGTCAATCAGTTCATCTTTGTCAAGCTCAAGAAACTCTTCGTGCTGGGACACATCTTCAAAAGTCTGCAGTGCAAAAGTCTTGCATTTGGTGAAGAGCGTTTTCAGGGAATGGGTGTCCGCGAAACGCTGGATTCCTAGGCAATTACAGGGATCAAGCTGCTCCTCCAAGAACTTGGCACATGCATCGCGGAGAACGCTGATCTGAAAGAGGCTCGATGTTTCAAAGAGATATTGCACGTTCTCTGTGGTAATCTTCACCTTCCCTGTATAAACATACTGCAGAAAACACTCCATAGCTTCAGCTAAAATACCGTTGATCTCAACCAACATCTCTCGGCTCTCCCTGTGGTCATTACAGAACATGGCTCTGAAGTAGCTGCTACAGGCCGAGAGAACGGCTCGATGACAAGGAAATTCTTTTCCTTCCACGCAAATGATGACGTCTGTGAACAAGCGGCTATCTCGGAACTCATTAAATATTTGAAGTATGTTTTCAGCATGGGATGATCCTGAAGAGAAGTCAAAAAACTCATGGCCTGTCAGAGATTTTGGGTCCATTTCAAAAACTTTACGCTTAGTTGCTGGGGAGTCACGCACCCCAAGATCCTCTCTGTTTAGTCTGCGTCCCAATATTAGTACCATTGTTACATCAGTTGACTAAATAATTGTTGAGAAATGACTGGCGGGGATCTTCTTTATGTTGCTACAAAGTGAAAATAAAAGGAAACATTTCAATATGTAAAAAAAGAGAAACCAATATTTAAATTAAGCGATTTCATTTTGATATAAATACTTCATAACACCTGCACCTAATGTAGTATGAGGGGCTTTAAAAAGTCTGTGGGAACATGGAATTGAAAGACAATGGGGTTCTTGTCCACTGGCTTTTCAGAGCCCACTCCTGTCTTGAGCACGGTATGTCATTTTAATAAAAATTGTAAATAATTTAGATATGTAATTGAGACATTAGGGATACCTTGCAATAGGCCCCCCAGCTGAGAGACCTAAATCATTCATCCCCCTTTTATCCACCCCCACACACAGCCAGCTATCATATTACTGACTGTGGTTTATAACAGTGTAGGAACACGGGGTGAAGAAGGGTACAGGACTCAGAATCTGACTACACAACTTAAATGATTATTATGTAAATACAGCGTAGCTCTAGGGAGGCGGTTCCCTATCACTGTCACTAGCCTTTAAATGTATGTACATTGTTCGGCCATCAAGTTCCTTTCTAGCAGTCGGTTCTAAAGAATAATCAGAAATATGCAAAGATTTATCTACAGAGCTGTCTGATGCACCATTAATAGGAAATACTTAAAACAACTTAAATGCTCTATAATAAGAGATGAAACCACAGTACATCTTCAGGATAGAACAGTCTATATAAAATTTATTTTATTTTTATTTTTCAGTCTGTATAAAATTACATAGACTACTGAATGGTGTAGGGAAGTACTAAACAGATATTAAGTTAAAAAGGCAGATAAAAAACATGCTAAGAAAACAGAAAAACTTTATCTAGGACAGAAAAAAAGGAAATACAAGAGTTGTGACATTTTTGCTCCCTTGTTTTTCTCTATTCTCCTTAAAATTTCCACTATTAATATCCAGTGTTCAGATTTTTTAATGTATGGTAGCTATGCCCTGATTCCCTTCAATAATAAGAAATACTCCTAAACTTACCTAAAACTTGACTATAAATAAGTAACAGATTGAGCACATGGCTATACATCAATTCTACCTTTGATGTTATGGGGTTTGCAGTGCAGGGAATTATTGATATAGCTCTTCTAGCCATAGCCTGTGTTACTCCCACCAAACCACCTTTGACGATGAGTCTGGATAAGAGAAGGTGGAGGAAGACACTGATAAAATTCAGTTGTGAGTTACTGTCAACAGGATTAATTATGAATACCATCCTGCTAGGTATAAAATGAGACATCTGAGAAGCAGGAAGTGGGGAGTGTCCTTTGAATCCTGAGGGCCCAATGTCTTGAACCTTCTTAATCTAGGAGACAGCTGTGACACCAGGGGAGTGAGCTTGTAAAGGTGAATGCCTTCAGGCAGGAGGTAGGCTTGTGGAGTGGGTTACCTGCCAGCACTTAATTTGGGGTGCCATGTTTGCTGACTCAAGGAGCTAAATCATCCTTCACCAGGCGAGTTAAGGTGGAGTGTCATGCCCTCTGGGCATTTATTGGCAGCCCTAAAGAGGTTTGTAACATTGTAAGAGTAGGGCAGAAGGGCAAGGCAGAAGCTAATAGGCCACGTGGCTGAGAGGCCAAAGGCCAGAGAGAGGCTTGCCAGCAGGGCAGAGATGCCCAGAGGCTGCCCTGTCTAAATAATTGTATTCTGAGTCTGGAGACACAGGTAACTTCTGTAGTAAGCCCCGCAGAGGAACCCTCCGCTATTCTACACCCTCAGAATCTCATTCACAACTCCTTCCAAAGGTCTCCACCTCTTTCTGACATATTTCACCAGACGTTCAGGTGAGTGCATGCATAGGGAATGGCAGCTAAAAGAAAGCCTAAGAAGTGCAGAAGCCATCAGGATCAGCACTATTGGGTAACTGAAATGATTTTGACACTGCCCTCCTTTGAGAGCTTTTAAGATTGGTTTAAGTCACCCCTGCTTAAAGAAAGGAAAATGGCTTAAGTTCTCTTAAAAACAAGGTTTAGTTTGTAAATAGAAATACCTTTTTAGCATTTGCTTGATCAAAGCCCCCAGTCAAAATATTTTTAATTTCCACACCTAAAATAAATGGAAAACAATAACATATATATCAGACACTAATCGGTTCATGTACCATTTAGTACCATTTTGAGTACATTCTAGTTTTAATGTGCTCACTTTTGCACGCTATAACTGAACAACAGTTCCTGACAGCAAATGAATAATTTTGTTATATACAAACCAGCTTTTTTTAAAAAATACTTTTATCGGGGACTCTTACATCTCTTATCACAATCCATACATTCCTCCAATGTGTCAAGCACATTTGCACATAGGCCGCCACCATCATTTTCAAAGTATTCTCTTTCCACTTGAGCCCGATATCAGCTCCCCATTTCGACCCCCTTCCTCCCCCGCCCGCCCTCCCTCACAAACCCTTGATAAGTTATATTTTTTTCCTTATCTTACATCACCTCTCTCGCCCCTTACCCACTTTTCCATTGAGGGGGTTCTAGGTTGATCCTTGTGATCTATTCCCTTTTTCCCCCACCCTCCCCTAATCCTCCTAGTATCTCTGCTCTCCTTGTTGGCCCGAAGGGGATTATCTGTCCTGGATTCCCTGGTCTAATCTGATTTGTAAGACAGAATTGAGGTCATGATAGTGGGGGGAAGGAAGCGCCAAAAAACTAGAGGAAAGTTGTGTTTCATTGGTGCTATATTGTACCCTGACTGGCTCCTCTCTTCCCTATGACCCCTCTGTGAGGGCATGTCTAATTGTCTACAGATAGGCATTGGGACTCCACTCCATGCCCACCCCACCCCCATTAACCTTGGGTATGGTTTTATTCTGGGTCTTAGATGCCTGATACCTGATCTCATCGACACCTCATGATCACACATGCTGGTGTGCTTCTTCCATGTGGGCTTTGTTGCTTCTCAGCTAGATGGCCGCTTGTTTATCTTCACGCCTTTAAACCCCCAGATGCTATATCTTTTGATAGCCGGGCACCATCAGGTTTCTTCAACACACTTGCCCTTGCACCCATTTTGTCTTCAGGGAGCAACACGATCGCTGAAGACAAACCAGCTTCTTATTGATAAACTCCCTTGGCAAATTTATCTTGCAGTAAATAAATGAAAGACGAGCAAAAAAATGTATAGTACAGCAAGCTAGTGGTGGCAGTGGGACAAGAGCATAAATATCCTGTGGTAATTTAGCACTGGCTATTTCATGAATGTCTAGTAAATGGGGTTTCATCATGTTTGGGACCATAAAAAATTCTAAGAGTTGATCTACCAAAAGTGACAAAAGCAAAGTTTCGTCACAACGCATTATATAACTGTGGAGCCCATTTGAAGAAGTCTAGCATTTGGGGGAGCTTAGAAAATAAATTTCATTAATTCATTCTTAGTTATATAGATTACCTTTCTAGAATCTGCACACTAGCAAATAAATATTTATAAACATATATATGCTTTATTTCTTCTGCTTTGTTGAACTTTATAGGCACAATGCCTGCAGAAACCAAGTAATTAGTCACAGTTACTTTTTCATTTTATAGTGGAAAGTAAGATGAGGAATGCTTTAGAGGCAAAACCGGCTATGTAAGGAATAGCAATCGTATTTAAACACAGGTGGTTCTGGTGTCTAGCCCGATGTCTCTAAGTAGAACTTCTAATTCTTAACCAGTTTAGGCATATTTGAAAGTTAGCGCCCCCTAAATACAAACTACTGAGTTTTCTACATATATACCCAGACACACATCTCCATACCGAGACCAACTGTGAACTGAACATCATCTTTCACGTTTCCTTACTTTCAGACATCAGTCTAACCTGTGTACTCTTGGTGCAGAATAATTTTACTTGGTGTAATTAGGAGATTGTTAATCTTGGTTGTGTTTTTTCCCCCCAACAGACAAGAGGATCCTGAGTCAATGAAGAGATTCAAGTCAATTCAATAAGCATTTATGGGACTCCTACACTGTGCCTTTTCCTGGGTAGCACAAAACGGTTTACCTATGTGCTTGGCTGCTACGCTAAAGGCCTGAGGCTTTTCTACCACCTAGAGGGAGTTTGGAAGAGAGTTCTGGTGACCTGCTTCTGAAACAATCAGCCGCTGACCGCTCTGGGAGCACCATTCGGTGACACACATGGGTGTGACAGAGTCTGAACAGATGGCAAGTTTGGTCTTGTTTTTTATTCTCTGCCTGCCACTGGGGTCACGAATATTCGATTCTGATGATTTTAGACTCTAGCTAAGGTTAGAATCAACCAAGAACGTCAAAATTTGATACTAAAACTCATTCAAAATTTCAGCACCTTTTCCCCCCTCCCCCCGTAATAAAGACTTAAAGGCAAACTGAAGTGGATTCTCATGATGATAGGGGCTCAACTTTTTAAACAGGGGCAAGTTCACTGTCCCTCAGACCCGTTGGAGGACCAGACTACAGTTAAAAAAAAAGACTATGAACAAATTCCTATGCCCACTGCACATATCTTATTCTGAAGTAAAAAAACGGGGCAAAAACACCTGGCGGGCTGGATAAATGTCCTCGGCGGGCCGCATGTGGCCCGCAGGCCGTAGTCTGAGGATGCCTGTTCTAAAATATCCTTAAAAGGAGTCGAACAGCTCAGCTCACTGTCATCGGGTCAATTGTGACTCAGAGTAACCTCATAGGACAAGGTGGAACTGCCCCCTGTGGGTTTCAGAGACTGTAACTCTCTACAGGAATAGAAAGCCTTATCTTTCTCTCTTGCAACAGCTGGTACTTTTGAACTGCTGACCTTGCGGTGCGTAGCCCAACCAGTAACACTAGCTACCAAGGGTTTCTTAAGGAGCGGAAGAGCAAGGCAATTCACGTGGGCATTTTCTGCAAGGCTTGTAAAGTAATACTTGGCAACCTAATAGAGATGAGGACAAAGGATGAGAGACTGGGCACAGAGACTGAAGGAGAAGCCCAGCACTGAACTAGAGCATAACTATGCTGCAATCGGCCCGTGTTGCTCTTTAGACTGCAGAAACCCAATATAACAGAAAGAGATGACTATCAGCCGTAGAGACAGTAGGGAGCAATGAGAGGATTCTAAACATTAAAGACCAAAAAGCAAAGGAAGTGAAACACACCCTGATTAGCAAGCTTTCCACAGGCAAGTAGTGAAGTGCTGCGTGGTACGCTCCACGTGGAGGTTTCTCAAATTTAACCTTGAGTGGCAAACACCACACACCATACGAGAGGTATGTCACTCTGGCTAAATTCATCACCCAACGGCTGCAATCTTTCACATTTGACAAATCTTAAATATGAGGGGCCCTGGAAGGCACTGTGAGTTAAGTAATCTGCTAACTTCAAGATCAGAGGTTTGAACCCATAAGCTGTGTAGGGAGAGAAAAATGAGGCTGGCTGCTCTCTTAAAGATTTACCTTCTCAAGCGTCCTACTCTGTCCTATAGGGCTGCTATGCGTTGGAATGCACTCCATGGTAGTGGGTTTGTGTGTTTGAGAAAGACTAGGAAAAAATGTTTCTTAAAAAGGGACCAAGCCTTCTAAAAGTGATTTCTGTTAAACATCCACGCCACCTCAAAAGTACACAGAGATTCCTTACCTGAAGGACTTTTACACAGGGAGAAATCATCTGGAACTTTGGGTCTCCGGGCCTGGGCAAATTGGAGAGCTAATAATCTAGATGGCTTCTCTGTGTAGGACAGCACCTTAAGGGGATGCTCTTTACCTTCGAGGAGACATGATATTTTACAGAAATAACATTGAGAAACCATCAAGCACAGCCTGGTCCCTTTTAAAACATACATTTTTGTAGTTGTTGGTATGGGTCAGATGCTGAGAAATTACAACTAAAGGGTGGTGAGTTTAGGCAGAGTGGCAAACTCTAGGATGAAAACACTAGTTTGGCTTTTAAGAGAAAGGTGTTTTAAGACGTTAACAGTTGAGTGGCTGATGTACTCTTTGTTACAAAATCCGATCACACAAAATGTATGTCATTTGTACACTTGTGAGGAGGTCTTACATTTTTTTCATTATAAAATTCCTAAATTATTTATTGAAAAGGGATGGCTCACATTTCTAGGTAAGAGAAAATGCTACAAAAATAGCTGCAGTTACTTGTTTGCTAAGTATTTTTCACACGGGTGACCTTTTTAAGGAAATGGCAGAAAAACAAGGAAGTTAAAAAGTTTATTGAAAAAGCATTAAGGTTTTTAACAACTTGGACAAAAGCCAGGTGAGTTTAAATTAAGGCTGGCTTCTCAATCTTAACTCAGAATCTCATTTCTTTTCTTCCTGTTTAAAGACTAAGTCTCCGGCTTTGTTAAAAAAGCAGGTCTTTATTCAGTGAGTTTTATTTTTAGAAAGGTTAATGGGCTTGCATTTCATTTCTTATCAGTTAGACACCCAATGCCCTCCATGCACACGTGGTCAGGCAGCTCGTGATCGGAGCTAAACCATCTCAAGGTGGTATGAACAGCTCCACTAGGATTTAACACATTCTGAAAATAAATAACCAACGCGAACTCTTCAGTAGCCCCTTCACCCAAGGGAGACCAATCTTCCTGGCACAAATACGTATTAAGTCTTGGGTGAATTCCTACATGTTTACAGAAACCGAAAAGCTCAACTCAAGTACCCTATAGATTACCCAGAGATTAGGAAAATCATGTCTTCCAGACATTATGGTTAAAATGATTGGCCTGGCAGATTAGTTGCCTAACATTCAATGGTAACACATCACAGTTGCAATTCATTTCTCTGAAATTCTGAATTATCAATAATTTTTGCCTTATCACATACAAGTTTGAGCCACAATGCCCTAAATAAAGAAAACAATTCATCTAAATCAGGCATATAATAATCTTTAACTTTCAGGGATTGGTGGGGGGGGGGGCGCTTCAAACCGTCTTCAAAAGCCGCATTCTAATATGAAGTCTTCACACGAGTGATTTCACAGTCCGTAGCTGCAAATAGTTGAAGACATGCTTTAAAAAAAACTATCACTGCCTACGTGCTATTTGTGAGACACCCTAGAATATGGCAATGCAATCCCAAAGCTTGTTTTCCACAAGCTCAAGGACACATTTGCATTGCTTGCCCCGCATCCCGGGAGAAAACGAGACACCCGTTCAAGACGGCTAATTATCTCGTCCCTGGGCGGCCCGGCGCCGTCCTCCCGTGTGCCCAGAGCGGCCTGCAGGCCCGGGCAGGAGCCGCGGCGGCCACCCAGATGCCCACGGCCGGCCGCTCCGCTTGGCTCCGGCAGCGCCAGCTCCGGCCCGCGGCCTCCGGGTCTGGAGCGCGCGGCGCCCGCCCCCCCGGGTCCCCCGGGTCCCCTCGGGCCGCAGCTGCTTCCGAGTCGGGAGCGCGCACTCCCGCGCGTCCTCCAGATCACCTTCATGGGGGCGGGGAATGACTGACAGGGGCAGCGCCTAGCGACAAGACATCTGCCAATAGACACGCGAGGTTCGCCCATCGCCCCGCCCACCCGCCGGCGCCGGCGCCCAATCCTGGCCGCGTTCACATTCTTCACCTAAGGTCTCCGGCCTGGGAGGCGGGAGCTTAGGAACTACACCAAGAAACCGAGGCCCGGAGTGGTAGGGAGGTGGCACGGTGGGGCGGGACTCCGCCGCCTCTACGCCGCCTCCCCCACCCCCGCGCCGGCCCCCGCTCCCCCCGGGGCCGCGGCTCTAGGGCCGGGTTCCCGGGGCGCGCTGTCTCGAACGACGGTAAACAAAGGCTGGCGCGGGGCGGGAGTAACGGTCAGGTGACAGTGCCGAATACATTTCGCAAACTTCTTCATAAGGCTTCTCTGGCCCGCTGCCCCGGGAACGCCACCTGGACCGGGTCAGTCCCCAACGGGGTCAGCGGTTGACCCCACCAAACGGAAGGCTCACGGGAGCCCTGTGCATTCAGGGCTTCCTGGGGGGCTGGGAAAAGAAGAACAAGTAAAGCGGTAGTAGCGCGATCGAAGCCCATCTGCAACCTGCACGACCCGAGGGTGGATCCAGACTCCACCGACCCCGAGGCAGCGGCGGGGAGTAGGGGGGCCCTGCCCGGACAGCCCCAGCCCCCGCGGCCCTCGCCCCTCCAACGCTCCGTCTGCAGCGCCGCGGGGCCGGAGCGCTAGTGCCAGGAGCCCAGGTGCCCTTCCTGCAGGACCATCGCTACCCGGCGGAGGCTGGAGACCATAAGTGAGTCCCAGAGGCCCCCGGACCCAGGCCCGGGTCCCGCAGCGGCAGCTGCAAGCTGTCCTCAGACCCCTGGGTTTGCAACTACAGGCCGGCCCCGCTATCCTCCCTCCCGCGGAGCACACGTCCACCGGGCTCCCGACCTCGGCGCCTCTCCTCCCCCGGGTCCCCAGCTCGGCTGATTTTTTTTTGCCTTTGGAACAGTCCCGGAGCTGTCATCCCCCGGTACCTCTCGGTGAAGCCTCGAAGCGCCCCGTGGCAGTGGCCCCGCAGTCCCTCAGCGGCCGGCGGTGCAGCGCAGCCTCCAGCGCCGGCGTCTGCTACGGCCACCCGTCTTCTGCCGCAGCTCACAACAAAGGAAACACGTGACCGCCCCAGCCAAAACACTGCACGTCACGGAGCCCCGGCCAATCCGAGTGGGCCGCTGCCCCGGAGCACCCTGGGAGATGTAGTTCCCACTCCAGGGGAGCTGCCAGGACCACCTGGGCTTTCCAGCTACGCGGTGGGTGTCAGCTGTGAGCTTGGAAGCAGACGCCATGCAAGGCGCAGTTCCTCTTTGCTTAGGAAAAGAGCCCAGTGGTGCCGTGGGGAAGCCATCAGCTAGGGAGCTGGACGGCACCAGGCACTTTGGGAAAAAAGATGTGGAGCTGGCTTCCATAAAGATTACAGTCTTGGGAGAGTCGGAAGGACTCAACAGCAGTGGGTGTTTTTTGTTTTGTTTGTTGCCCCCCAGAGGGCTCAGGGTTGGTGCTTTAGGTAGAGCGGGGATGAGGAAATGCATCCTGGTGAGAAACTTGAGTCGTGTGTTTATTGCATTCTAAGCCCCAGCCAAGTCCCAAGGCAAAAAGCACATCAGTAAGAATTCACGGAGCCTTAGAGCTCTGAAGGAGGTTTACAGATCTTTTTGATTGACCCCCTGATATACAATGGGGAAAACAGAGAGAGAGAGAGTGTGTGTTGGCAGGGGTCCGGGGTGGGAGTGGGGCCAGGGGGAGGCTTAGGAGAGTTATTTCAAAGGGACTGGAACTCTGGTCATCAGGCAGTACTGGGACGCCTATCTTACTAGAGCCCATCTATTAATTTCAATTGTAGCAACCTAGGTTGCCTTTCAATGTATTTTATTTCCCCCCACAGATAGTTATTTCATGTGCATACATTTGGCTCTATAAATTCCCTTGATCTCAAATATGCTATCTGCATTATTTTATTTTTTGCAGTATAATACTTATTGTTCAAATTATACCCTTCACATCAAACTAACTCCGTACTCTTTTATTATTAAAAGATCATTTTATTGGGGGTTTCTACAGCTCTGATAACAATCCAGACATCAATTGTATCAAGCATATTTGTACATATATTGCTAGCATTATATTCTAAATTTTTACTTTCTATAGAGCCCTTAGTATCAGCTCCTCTTTTTTCCCTCCTTCTCCCCTCCACCCTTGTGACCTCTTGATAAATTATAATTTATTATTATTTTCATATCTCACTGACTGATGTCTCCCTTCCTACATGGTTTCTGTTGTTCGTCCCCGTGTGTGTGTGTGTGTGTGTGTGTGTGTGTGTAGTTATGTGTCAATGATTGCGATCGTACCCTCTTCCTTCTCCCCCCCCCCTGCCTTCCCCCTGCCCTCCTGCTATCGCTACTCCCATTCCTGTTCCTGGTTTCCATGTGTCCTGAGCTCTTATCTCTTATCTGTACCTGTGCACATGCTCTGGTCTAGCCCACAATGAAAGGCAGGACTGGGGTCATGATAGTGGGGCGTGAGGAAGCCTCAAGGAACCAGAAGAATATTGTATTTCATCAGTGCTATACTTCACCTTGTTCGACTCATCCCTTCCTTGTGCCCTTTCTGTAAGGGGATGTCCCATTGTCTACAGATGGGTTGGGGTCTCTGCTCCGACCCCCCTCATTCTCACCTTTACATTTTAAATGCACATGCATATAGGACAAAGCTACGAGCTCCTATTTTCGAAAGCAGACACGATTCTCCCGAAGGAAAGTATTAAAAATGTTGTTATGTATCTGTATGTATTTTGGTAATTAACAATATAAATCAAACTCAGTGTCCACTGAGATTCCACAGAGTCAAGCTAGAAGCCAGAGTAGAACTGCTCCATTGTGTTTCTGAAGCTGTGAATCTTCACGGAAGCAGACTGCCTCACCTTTCTCCCTCAAGCAGCCAGCTGCCCTTTTGCTTAGCAGTCACATGCTTAACCCGCGGCACCACCAGGGGACCTTATGAATTGGCCCTATATAGTGGGGGAAATTAACCCTGGGTAGATGTCCTCATGATGAATGGAGAAAAGGTTGATGTTGTCAAGGGTTTTGTCTTGCTTGGATCCACAATCAGTGTTCATGGAAGCAGCAGTCAAGAGATCAAAAGACATATTGCATTAGGTGAATCTGCTGCAGAAGCCTCTCTTGTGTATTGAAGAGGACTGAGGTGCACCTGACCCAAGCCGTGGTATTTTCAGTCGCCTCATGTGCATGTGAAAGTTGGACATTGAATAAAGACGGAAGAGGTATCGCATTTAAGTGGCGGTGCTGGAGAATTACAGAAAGTATCAGGGAGTGCTACAAGGACAAACATCTGTCTTGGAAGAGGTGTGACCAGAGTGCTGCAAAGGTGGCGAGGTTTCATCTCGCCGCCTTTGGACATGTTGTCAGGAGGGTCAACGCCTGGAGAAGGACATCAGGTTTGGTCCAGTAGAGGGGCAGCGGACAAAGAGGGAGGCCCACTAGGAGATGGATTGACATGGTGGCTGCTCAGTGGACGGCGGCACACGAACAATAGTGAGATTGGCGCAGTGCTTCGTTCTGTTGTGCAGAGATAGGGTCGCTATGAGTCTGAACCGACTCGGTGGCACCTGACAACAGTTATTTTCTTCCTGTCCCCACACTCATGAGTCAAAGTGGCTGAAATGCAAAATGAACTCTCTGTCCGGTGTCAGAATTTGGTGATGAACATTATTTTACTTTCTTGTTCCTTGTGAGTCTTTGGTGTTAGTGGTGTGTGGGGGTGGGGAGGGGGACAGTTTGTGGGCAGCTACTAACATGAAGGCAGGTGGCTTGCACTCACTGGGTGGCAACCTGTTTCTGTGAGGATGACAGCAAAGACAATCCTTTGGAGCCCTTCTATTGGGTAACACGTGGAGTTGACAAGTCAGCTGCGACTGCAAATAGGGACAGGTCTGGGTTTCTGCCTTACTTGGTGTTATCCCTTGCCGTCACTTATGGACATATCCCAAGAGTTTTCCATTTTTCCAAGGA